GGTCTCAAGTTGCAGCAAGGTAAGTTTAGGTCGGATATTAGAAAAAAACTCTCTTACTAGGAGGGTGGTGAAGCACTGAAACAGGTTACCTAGAGACATGGTAGAATCCCCATCCTTGGAGGCTTTTAAGGCCCAGCATGACAAAGCCCTACCTGGAATGATCTAGTTTGGGACGGTCCTGCTTTGAGCAGGGGGTTGGACTAGATGACCTCCTCAGGCCCGTCTTACCCTAGTTTTCTATGATTCTAGACAAAAGATCTGACTTATCCAGCTGAAACAATTCTATGGTCCTTAGCAACCTAAGAAAGATGTCCTCTGGAAACCATTGCATCCAGAATCAGGCACAGGCTAGGTTGCAGTACAATAAAACCACAAAGCAATAGAAAAAATATAGAGACACTAATTAGAGATGGCACTAATCAAAATGTGATTTGCATGGTACCACTTGCTTTCAACACATTTGAGGACATCACAAAAAGCCAGACTGCAATAGCTTTATTCATGATGATAGTACTTTCCATTTTAAGTAGCTGCACTCAGGTCAATGGAAACTATTTGTATAATATGGGTCTGCTCAATGTAAGGAAGGATATCATAATCTGATCCCAAAAAGTACCACCTACCAGAAAAAACACAACAAATTGTGATTCAAATGCATCATGAACATACACCATCCTATTGCCGTTGCAATATTCTTTGGTCTATCCACAGAAGGACTAACATTCCCAAGTGCTAAAATATTTCTGATCTAACCTAGAAAATGCAGAAATTTGCCTATGCACCTGTCCTGCTGCATCAGCAAAAATTAAAGCTCATGTCCAAACTCCAAAGCCAAAAATGAACAAATTTAACATGAAAATTTTTTGCCTATGCCCATGAGAAGAAGTCCCAGGATTTCTTAATTTAACAGAGTTCCAGAAATCTGGAATGTTTGTGATAAATACACACTTTTTATCTTTCATCTGAATGACCCATATTCAACTGTGAAATCTGCAAAATGCTTGAGAGCCATAAATAACTTGCTTTCAGCTCCATCCAATCTGTGCTTTTTGCATCCCTGAGTGCTGGCTATTTGGTCATTTCTAGTCCCAAAAAACTGCTTTCATTATGGTATAACAGCAAAAAGCAAAATAAGAAGAGATACCAAGTACCTAGAAGAAACTTAGTGGCAAAGGCCAATAGGTTTTACTTTTCTCTTGGCCTGAGTAATTCCAGAGACAAATTAGGCCCATTCAGCTTTGAGTAGTCTGATCATTTGAATTCCATTCTGGAACAATTTGCTTGCTGGATCTTTCCAGGATCCACTTTTGAGAAAGTAAAAACACCAAAGGGAGAGCTATTCTCTATAAAGTTACTGACAGGAGAAAATACAAAAGGGGTATAAGTAATACTGATTTGGGTGAAATGGCAGAATCCTGAAATCCATAAAACTGATAAAATAGTCAGATATAAAACAGGAGATAAACAAGGCATCACAAAATGATGATACATGGTCAAATTCTGCCCTCAGGTAGGCAAGGGTAGAATCTTACAGATCCACAGTGAAAACCGGGAACATTTAATGTTTCCGTGGGAAAAGCAAAGTTATCAGTTTTTGCCTTCTGAAAACATGTTAGATCATTTTTGTCTTATACCACATTGATAATACTGCTATTTGTATAGCTAAAGCCCTTCCAAGTAACAAAGAATAATACTCTCCAGCCCTGCAGCATCTTAAATTAAGTTATCAATGCTTTTTGCAGGCATCTGTGAGAAATGTATTACTTAACCTCTTTGTATCTTACTTTTCATTCTCTGTAAAATAGGGAAAGTGACAAAACTTTTAAAAGCATTCACTAATTGTGTGTGCCTTAATACTGGTCTGTGAAACTTAATGTACTGTAGATGCAAAAATTATTATCTCTGGATGATCACCCAAGATCTGAAATAAATGGCCTAAGTAGCTTGCCCAAGGAGATAACAGAACAGGAACTAGAGATGGTTCTAATTGCAAAACTAAACTGTTTTATCATTTTCGTGTTTAGAAAAAACAAGGAGATATATTTTTTCTGCCACATGAGAAATGTGTTCATTTAGTAAACAGTAAACACTACTTCATTCATCGATACACTATTTGAAAAATAATACTGCTTAGAAATACAGCTTAGAAATTGCAATCAATATTTTTCACTGGTTCTTTTAATCAAAAGCAAATGTTTAGTGTTTGAACTTTTAGGCTCAGGACAAGTATTTCTCTTGAAAGATCCAAGGTGCCTTAAACATGTAATTTGATACAGACCCTATATAAAGTTTCACTACTGAGGCAAAACACAGCAGCTGTTTCATATAACACACACCACCACACGAGAACACATGCAGTGAGGAAAAATACTGTATTTCAGAGCCTCCCAAACTGTGGTTTACATCGCCCCTCCCAGTAATCAACTAAATAAAATGTGGATAATCAAACAATAGGAGTGGGAGTTTGAGGGGTGGGGAGGAGGTGGGTTCATGAAACTTCTCTTGTGAAGCGATTCACAGAAGGAAATTAGAGAACCCACATGAGCCAGCCCAATGGGAACACCGGTTAGCAGGATGTGATTACTGACATCCAGAGAGATCATCAAGGTGAACATTCTTCTCTTGTAAGAAATGCCACCAAAAGACATGAGTTATTTAATGATCACAGCAGTTAAAAACTTGCTATGACTCTTAACATAGAGGCTACACTTTCAAATGTCTTTTTCAGCAAAAGATGCCTCACTGCAAAGTGAACTTAGCTGGGATAACCTGACCAACTTCCCAGGATTTTTATTGTAAAATGCCTTTTCACTCTGGGAAGTGGAAGATAAACCTGTTTAAAACTGGATCACATCAATAGTCACAAAAAGAGGGCCTGTGTATGAGCTGGTCGGCCACCTTCTCATGCCATTTGCTAACTAACATCAAACTTGAGTGCCTAGAGTTAGGCTTCTAAACCTTTTGAAGGCACCTCAAATGCAGTCCTGGTAACCCATAGGATGCTTGGAAGACAATGGGAGTGGCCAAGGCTCAGATCATGTCTATTTATTGGTAGATGCCTAACAATAAATTTAAAGCCCAAGCAACCCTTTCACCAGAACCCCCTCTGCCAAAAAGGATGCAATCCCATCAGGGAAGGGCTTATTTTTCTGTATTCAATTATATAACACCCTCCTAGAGTAGCTTTCAAGCTGCTAATATTATTCCAGCTACATTCACTTTGCAGTGCAGCAGTTTACTGGAAGACTTTTTCTGTAATCCAGACCCAATTAGGGAATCAGTTTCAAACAATTAAATCTATCTGCTTAGAATACCTCAACTGTGTCAATAAAATAAAAAGATGAAATAAAACATATTAATGAAATATTTTAAAAGGATAATTATAGGCAAACTGGGCATTTTTCAAAACAGATGGAACTGAACTGAGTTTCAACATTTTATTCTTTATTCTTAAGCCGTTTGCTTTCTCCCCACATGCAGAAACTGTGTCCTTGACTCAGCAGCATAGACCACAGTTAAGAACTGCAAGCGAGCTATTTTATTTGCTCTTACCAAAGCCATATGGGGTTTCTTTTAAACAAGACCTACTGACAGCAAAACATGTTACTACCGCCTCCCTCATCTGTCTGCATTTGGGTGAGGGCCCTTCCTGTCTGCACTGAGGTGCACAAAGGCAGGTCTCAACCTCAGTATCTGCGTAGGCATGTGGGGAGCTGCCCTGACAGCCTCCTGGGGCATGCTGCCTTCCCTCACCAGCTGTATGCACATAAAGTTCAGGGAAGCCAGGTGTTTTGCTCCTGCCAATGCCCATGCATATAGGATTTTCCCCTCCAGTCAGGCCTATTTGATGTGCATTGGGAACATGGGTCAATGTTCATTAAGCAAAGATGCAAGCCCCCCTTAATATGTGGAGGTACTAAGTGCACATCAAGTGATTACTGGGGACAACTAAAGGAGAAAGGAGATGGAGGGGAGTGAAGGTCAAAAGTTCAGAGCAAGTGCTCCTAACAGGGACCCTAGGAAGAACACACAGGACAGCCCCCACAGAACCTCAAACATGTCCAGGTAGATAGGGAGCTTGGGAGGGGATTGAGCAGGAGGTCCGGGTGCTTGCTGAAGCTGTGTATGGGAAGTGCAGAAACAAACAAGTGTGGAGGGTAGCACAGCCAGACCCTCAGCAGGACCTTCTGGACTGCTCCCCAGGGGGAGCCATACCAGTGCGAGTACAAGAAGTGTATGTGCATGTGTGTGCGTGTGTGTATAGTTTCTGTGCGTGTGTCTAGTTTCTCCACACATGTGCACATACAGTTTCTCTGTAGGTGTGTGTATATAGTTTCTCTGTGTGCATGTGTGTGTAGTTTCTCCATGTGCATATGTGTGTGGCTTCTCCCTGTGCATGTGTAGGTGCGTGTAGTTTCTCCCCGTGGGTGTGCGTAGTTTCTCCGTATGTGTGCGCGCGCATGTGTGTATATGTAGTTTCTCCCCATGGGTGGGTGGCTGTGTGTAGCTTCTCTGTGTCTGTGTGTGTGTAGTTTCTGTGTGGGTGGGTGCATGTGTGTGTAGTTTCTCCCCGTGTGTGCACGTGTGCGTGTAGTTTCTCCCCGTGTGTGTGGGTGTTTGTGTGTGTAGTTTTCTCCATGCGGGGGTGTCTAGGCACAGGGGAAGCCTCTCTTCAGTCAGCCTCTGTGGGGTGGGTTTTGTGCAGAGCCAAGACAGCTGGGCCTGGGTGGCCAACAGCCTGTGGGAGCCCATGACCTGTCCTGGCCGCGCTTGGGCTCGGCAGGGGCAGTAAAGAGTGGAAGAAGGAGCCGGTCTCCCTCAGCGCACCTGCCTGCGTGCCTGGTGCAGGGGCTGCCTCACCGCCCTGGGCTGGGCTGGGCCGCGCGCAGGGGTCCCCTCAGGCAGTTCCGCCGAGGGGGTGGGGGCGCACGTGCGTGCAAGGGGTACCCTCGCCCGCCCGCCCGCGGGGAGCAGGGAAGGGGCCGCGTGCCGGCACTCACCGCCCGTGATCTGCGCGGGGCCGAAGCAGAGCGCCAGCTGCAGGCACAGCACCAGCACGGGCAGCCGCGGCGGCGGCGGCGGTGACTCCGGGAGCGGGTCCCCGCGGCTGCTCGGGCTCATTCCATGATGCATCTTCCACCCGCCAAGGGCATCGGCTCGGGGGCTGCAGCGGCACAACACCGGCCCGGCCCGGCCCCTGTGGCGGTGCGGCAAGGGTCGGCCGCGCGCAC